TGGTGCTAGTAGTGTTGATGGTGGTGGTGATGGTGTTGATGGTGGTGGTGATGGTGTTGATGATGGTGGTGATGGTGTTGATGGTGGTAGTGCTGGTGAAGATGGCGGTGGTGTTGATTGTGGCTGATGATGGTGGTGCTAGTAGTGTTGATGGTGGTGATGGTGGTAATGATGGTGATAATGTGGTGGTGATGCACTGACTTTGTTTTGAAAGACAACATTTTGGACATAATGGGTAAAATTTTAGATGTTACTAAATAACATCTTTGCTTTTTAAGATAACTGCTAGAAAACTTAACACCAGGGGCTCACACTACCTACTACTGAACATTGCAGGGCTAGGTACCCACACAGGGATCCAGACAAAGTCAGCCTTCTCTTCCCTTTAATGCTCTCCAAAGTGAGTCACAAGTGTCGTCTCTGAGATGAACAGGAGATGCTCGGTTCTGTTTTCCAGGACTCTTGTGGCTGCCCTGCTCTGAGCAAGTTCTGTGGTATAGATGGGGAGCTCAGGCTTGGGAGGAGAAGAGCCTTCTCTGGTCCCCGACCTGTGGGCAGCAGCAGCTTCTCCATCTTCCTGCCTGTCCCACCAGTGATGGATTCCAAGGTCGTCTGGCAGACAGGGAGCCAAGGGCAGATTGATTCTGGCTAAGACGCAAATGCCTTCATTGAAGGTAAAAGCTGCGTCCAGACTTGGCCACGGAGCTTGAGTTTTAAGCCAAGACCATCAAGAGCTCCCTGGTGGCTGCGGGTGACTGACAGCTCTCTGAGGGTCAGAGGGGGTGCCATGAGCCTGCACCCACCGTTAGTCATTGTGTCCTGCCTGGCCGTGACACAGCTGATGCAAGTCAAAGTGGGATGCAGGCCTTGCTCCCCAGCTTTGCCCCCTTGAGTCTTGGCTGCTTTGCCCACCATGGGTGTCTCTCAGAGGCCCATTTTGAGGGTAAGATGGTAAGGTCTTTTGATCACAGATAACAGGGCTGCATGTAGCAGAATGTGACAGAGTCCACTGTGACTATTTCACAAAATGGCTTGGGAACCTGGGAGGCGTCCTGAACTCTGGGTGGTTGTCATCGTAACGGGCACGATGCCGGCAAGGCAGGGGAACACCTATTGCGAGTGCTCATTCCATGGACGTATTGAGGGAGTGAGCTGCAAGGAGCAGGGCTCAGGGGACTGGGATGAGTTCAGTGCCTTGGTCTGGTCCACCTCAGGACATTGCAACCCTAACCACCTATTTAACAGTGGTTAAAATAAGATAGGGGTGATGACGATGATGGTGTTTGGGGATGTGATGGCAGCAGTATAATAGTGGTGATAAGGGTGATGGTGACAGTGGTGGCAATGGTGATGATGATGGTTTTCTCATTCTTTTTTTTTTTTTTTAATATTTATTTTTTAGTTCTCGGCGGACACAACATCTTTATTGGTATGTGGTGCTGCTGAGGATCGAACCCGGGCCGCACGCATGCCAGGCGAGCGCGCTACCGCTTGAGCCACATCCCCAGCCCCAAGTTTTCTCATTCTTAAACTTGGTACACAGGTGGCCCTCAGTGGCCTGGCCTGTAATGGGCTCCCAGAAGTCAGTCTCCTGGTGGGCACCTGTAAACACTGACTGATCTGATCTCTAGGTTTTTGCAGACAAGGGTTCTACCTGCTTTTCCATCTGGTTTCTTTCCCCTGGAAGCTCAGTAGCCAGTCTATGTCCTCCTAGCATCTCAGACCCACAAGCCAACACGATCTTTTGGGTGGAACCTGGATACCACTAATCAGAAAAGGGCTTTCACGTCTCCTCTAGTTCTAGACTGTGCTTCTATTAATTCTGCTTCATATTAAATCAAGACTCCAGGGGTTGGAGAAAAGAGAAACCCTGTCAGATACACTGAGGGGCAAATGGGAAGGAGTCAGCTTCTTAATAAAAACCCAGGGCATCATGAAGGACTGTGGGGCCTGGCCAGAGACCCAGTGGAACCTGTTTAAAGCCATCTAAGCTGGCTGTGTGTGTCGGGTTACCTGCCCTGGGCCATGCTCACTGGCTTGCTCTTGCACTCAGGAGGGGTGATTCTGACTCTAGTGCCCCTCATGCCAGGGGGTCATGTGACTGGCTCAGCAGTACGCATGAGAATGGCTCCTGAACTCCATCACTGTTGCAGAAGGAGGCAATTTTCTGAGGAGTCTCCAAGGCTGAGTGAGGTCACCCCTAAAGGCCTACTTTCTAGGGGTGACATCACATGTCTCACAGCTGCAGGGCTGTTCCTGGAGACACCAGAGCGGACCCTGGCCTCAGCACGGAGGCAGGGTCCTGAGGTCCTTGGTGCACAGGCCTCCTCCCTCCCACCTGCTGCGAGTCTCCAGGTGCAGCACTTCATGCCACACGGGCCAGGTTGTCCTAGAGTCACAGGCACATTCTGGATCCTCAAGCCCCATGTGAGCTTCCCGGACGCAGCTCAGCCTCAGAGCCTCAGCACCCTGGGCCCTGTTCCAGGCTTGTGCCCAGGGTCCTGGGAGCAGGGGTAGGCAGTGACTGGCCTGCTGTGTAGTTCCATGCCAGGTGGTAGAGGGGCAGGGAGGCCCCTCCTGGTCCTGGTCTCCCGGGTTCCCTCCTACCTTGGGCTTGCCTCTGACTCCCCAACACAACCATGGGTGTCCAGCATAGCCTGTGCTGGTGGCAAAAGAAATGGAAAGTTGGTGGAGCCTGCTGAGTTCTGGAGGCAGCCCCCCGACACCCCCACGGGCTCATCTCTGCAGGGCAGGGACCAGGCCAACCATCATGCCCCAGACCCAGGTACTGGACAGTTGCTGTGGCTAGGTCCCACTACCTCTACCTCCCTGAGACCAGGTGTTTCTTTTTCTTTGAGGTCCTGGGGATTGAACCCAGGGATGCTCTACCACTAAGTTACATCCCCAGCCCATTTTTAAGTTTTTTATTTTGAGACAGGGTCTTGCTAAGTTGTCTAGGCTGTCTTCAAACTTGTCATCTTCCAGCTTCAGCCTCCAGAGTAGCTGGGTTATAAGCATAGCCACTGTGCCCAGCTTGGAGTTTCAGAGAGTAGGGAACCACTAAGCTATTTGGAGGAAAGTTAGCTTCCTCCCTCAGATGACAGCTATGAGCCAAAAGGTTTACAACATTCCCTATGAAGAGGCTGAGCCTGTTATTTATGCTCCCATTACAGTTCTAGAATCCTACAAGCTTCCCGCTTTGGACTGCATTCTACTCTGATCCCAAGTCATTTTCTACCACCTTTGAGAAAAGCTGGATTTCCAGTCTGAACTGGAATACAGCAGAATACTCATATTACAGCTGAGAAGACCCAAAACTAAGTGTTGCCCTGCAGAGTTGTGCAAGCTAAGGCCTGCATATGGGAGCCCAGCCAGGGGGCAGCAAGGCTCAGCTCCATTTGGCTCTGCTTGTGTACTGGTAATGGGCTGTGACCCTTTCCTTTTTTTTGATATCAAGGATTGAACACAGGCATGCTTAACCACTGAACCACATCTCCAGCCCCTTTTTTATATTTTATTTTTTTGAGACAGGGTTTCACTAAGTTGCTGAGGCTAGTGTTAAACTTGCAATCCTCCTGCCCTAGTTTCCTGAGCCACTGGGATCATTGGCATGTGCCACCACACCCAGCCCCTTTCCTATTTTCTACAAAGGTGCTTCCCGAGCCTACTGGGCCCTGCTGGAGGTTGTCTGGCCACAGGGACTTTCACATTTTCTTGTCTACAACCCACAATAAAAAAAAGTAAAACACACTGAAAAGATTAAAAAAAGTCACATTAAACACTCATGTGCCTGCTATTTGGACACCAACATTAATGTTTTATAATTGTTTAAGTSAGACAGATGTCACTTCTAAACACTTTTTGACTCATGCTCTTTATAATAGCTTGATATTTGTTTGTAATTTGATTTTTGTACAAATTTTTGTACCTTGAAATGCATATCTTGATGTACCCTCCAGTCTCCGTGCATTCATACATCTGGGTAACCCACAACTGCCACGATACCGACCACTTCCACCAGTTGTGAGTTGCTTCTGGCCCTTCTTGTTTTAAGAAATAAATTTTCGGGGCTGGGGTTGTGGCTCAGTGGTAGAGCGCGTGCTTGGCAGGTGCGAGGCCCTGGGTTCCATCCTCCGCACCACATAAAGATAAATAATAAAAAAAAATCGTGTCCATCTACAGCTAAAAATAAATAAGTAAATAAAGCAGCTTTACCGGGTGGCACAGAGCACACGTATCGAAACAAGGCCGTTAACAAAGAGCCGGCCTCAACCTGCCCTGGGCTCTGTCTGTGGCTTTCCGTGTCGGGCGGAAAGGGCGGCCGCGCCCCGGCCCCGGGCCACGCCCCGGCCCAGCGCGACTTCGCGGTCGCTGGGGGCCGGCGGCGGCCGTCCGCCCCACGGGGCGAGCCGAGCCCTGGCCGCGGGCGCCGTGCCGCCCGGCCTCGGCCCGTCCCCGACTCCCGAGCTCCTCTTCGAGCCCTGGCCGCGGCGCCCGACGGCGCTCCCCGAGGGCACGATTCGCGCCTGCGGAAGCGGGAGGGCAGAAGGCCGTGGGCCCTCAGCTCCCCMGCGGGCGAGCCTGTCCCCCGGGGCTGGGCTCTCCGGGCGCCCCAAGCCTTCTCAACGAGAGTCTTGCCGCCGGCTTCCCGGATCAGGGAAGCACGTTGCCCCTCCTTCCCGCACACGGGCTCAGGGCCGGCGCACCGCGCAGGTCCCGCGCTGCCCGGGGCGGCACAGCTCCGGCGAGACGCTGCCAGCACGCCCGCGTCGCAGTGCGCACGCGCCGGCCGCGTTCCTTTGCCCCCCTCGCGCTCCGGCCGATGGTACGATCTGGGCGGGGCTATAGCGGCGCCTGCGCAGGTGACTCCAAAGCAGCCGTGCGCGCACCGGCCGCGTCCGTTTCCCCCGCGTGCTCCGCAGGATGGAACGGCCCGGGCGGGGCCTTGCGAAAACCGCGCGAAAACCGCGCGGAGACTGTCCGGACGCCGCTTCCCCACCATGGCGCAGCGCCGCGTCACCGARTTCTTCGCGCGCCGCCGCCCGGGTCCCGCCGCGCGGCGGGCCAAGTCGGCCTGCCGCACCCCGAGCTCCGCCGCGGGCCCCGCGCTCACCCCGGGCAGCAGCCGCAAGCGCGCCCGCCCTCCYGCCGCGCCCGGGAGCAGCCGGCCGGGGCCGCCCGCGCGCAGGAGGCTGCGGCTGCAGGACGCGGTGAGGGGACAGGGACCGGGCAGAGGTCAGAGGAGATGGGGACGGAACGGCGGGCTGGAGCGCGGACTGATCAGACGGGGAGGGGGGATGGGGACGGGAGGGTTGGGGCGGGGGGGGGCGGGGCCTGGGGAGAAGGGCGGGGACCGCGGATCCCGAGGGGAGCCCACCCGCAGGGGCGTCGCGAGGGCCTGAGCACGGGCCTGCAAGGACCGTGGCCCTGGAGTGTCGGGGCCACGTGAAGCTCCCTCACCTGCAGTGCTGGGTGAGGGGTCGGCCTCGAAGCTGCCCCAAGAATGGACAGGCCGGTATCCCGCCGGTGGCCCAGCACAGATTAGCAGGGATGCCCAGGACCTCTGCTCGGTCCTTGCAGGGTCCATTTAGTTGGCAGTCCGTTCTCTTGGTGTTCCCCAAGGCCTGTCATGTGCTCACCTGTGGCTTCCTTCCCAGCAGGACTCCTGTCCCACTTCCCCACCTGCCCCTATCTCCCCGGGCAAGAAGGTTAAGAGAACTGCTCCCTCCGAAGGTCAGCTGCCCTGCCTGGCAGCCCCCAAGGACAAGGTAAGGAGGCTGTGAGGCTGGACCAGGCAGTGTGTGAGGGGCTGGGGTGACTGGATGGCTCACCCCCCCTGTGTCCACAGGCCCTCTCCAAGGACACCATCTCTGAGCTCCAGTCATGTCTGCAGCGGGCTCGGGTGCTGGGGGCACAGGCCCAGGCACTGAGGGCCAGTGCTCAGAAGGACGCTAAGGAARCTAGCACATCGGAGGCTGAGGGATCTGCAGAGCAGCCATGGTGAGTGTGCTCAGGCACCCTGGAGAAGACAGGGAGCAGCAGGCACAGCAGGGGCCCGAGCAGATGGAGGGCCAGGGCTGYGCCTCCTAGGGGGTTAGTTATGTGGAGAGGGCATGGAGTAGACAGCACAGACCATGCTGCTCACCAGCTGCATGCTGCAGCCCTGGGTGCTGGTCATTCCTGCCTCGCTGGGCTCAACACTGACAGTTCACCCATAGTGACATCCCAGTGTCACTGTCTTCCCCAAGCCCTATGTCTTTTGGAGCTGAGGAAGCTGCGCTAGGGCCGAGGGAGGGTGGCAGAGTTGGTTGTGGAGCAGGTTTTTAAGTGTGCCTCCCTGAGGCTGTTCCTTAGGCAGGCAGCAGGCTGGCAAGGGCTCTCTGAAAGGTACATGCCATGGGGTCTGACTGGGCACTGAAGGGATGTGATCTGGGCCTTCCTCTGACCCCGGCTCTCCTTGACAGTGGCGAGAAGGCACCTGCCTACCAGCGCTTCCATGCCCTGGCCCAGCCTGGGCCCCCAGGCCTTGTGCTGCCCTACAAGTACCAGGTGCTGGCTGAGATGTTCCGCAGCATGGACACCATCGTGGGCATGCTCCACAACCGCTCTGAGACTGTGACTTTTGCCAAGGTCAAGCAGGCTGTCCAGGACATGATGCGCAGGTGAGCAGGCTGAGGGTCAGGCCTGGCCCACCCTAAGCCGGAAGCCTGGTTCCTTCTGACCCAGCCCCTTCTGCTGTAGGCGCTTTGAGGAGCGCAACGTGGGCCAGATCAAAACTGTGTACCCTGAGTCCTACCGCTTTCGCCAGGAGCGCAACATCCCCACCTTCAAGGATGGCGTGAAAAGATCCGATTACCAGCTCACCATCGAGCCTGTGCTGGACTCAGGTGAGTGCCAGTGGCTGGATCTGCTCACCTGGTTTTGGGTCCCCCTTGTAGCTCTGCATGCTCTGAGGGAGGGCATGAGGCATCCCCGTGGGGCTGGGCTGGCCTGGGGCTCAGGCCTGGACTGTCCCCGCAGAGGCTGGCAGTGCCCCCCAGCTCACAGCCTCGCGCCTTCTGCAGCGCCGGCAGCTCTTCAGCAGGAATCTGGTGGAGCGAGTCAAGGAGCACCACAGGGTGAGCAGCAGTGCCCTCAACTTGGGGCCTCCTTGTGAGCCATCAGCCCCTCTGTTAGGCTTTGTGATTGCCTCACAGGAGTGTGGAGTTCTGAAGTTCCYTGTAACCCTCGCCATGGCTGTCCCAGGTGGGGAAGGGCTGCCCTGCACTCTAAGATGTCCTGTTACACAGTCAGCCATAGCTGCTCAGGGCTGACCAGAGGCCCCAGAAGGCTCTCAGTGGGTCATTGAGTCCTTGTTGTGCAAGACTGCACGTGTTCTCTTGCCTAGCTCTCTCCAGGTGGCCTGTGTGTGTGCGTGGAGTTAGGCCTAGAGCAATACTATCTGGGCACAGAGAGGTTAGGTGACATCCCCCAGGCTGCCCTGCTGGGAGTCAGGCCGCCCAACACCCAGCCTTTCTCCCACAGGCTTTCCTGGCCTCCTTGAGCCCCCCAATGGCTGTGCCTGAGGACCAACTGACTCGCTGGCACCCACGCTTCAATGTGGATGGTGTGCCTGACATTGAGCCGGCCGAGCTGCCCCAGCCACCCAGCACAGAGAGACTCACCACTGCCCAGGAGGTGCTGGCCCGGGCCCGAAGCCTGATGTCACCCAGGGTGAGGCTGCTGACTTCTGACCTGGCCCCTGTCTCGGCGGGGGGGCAGTGAGGCCTAGCTGGGTGCCTGTCTGGTTCCTGAGGCTTCACCAGGCTCATCCTTGCTGAGGGGCAGAGAAATGGCAGGATGTGCCCTTGTTCACCAGCTGCAGCCCTATGCCTGCACCCCTGGGACTGCTGCTGGTGGGCTATGCGTGGGCGTGGAGTTAGGCCTAGAGCAGCACGGGGGTCTTGAGTTGGGGCTTCCTGGCTTCCTGGCTTCCTGTGACCTCTCCTCTGACTCCACCCACCCCGCAGATGGAGAAGGCCTTGAGTGACATGGCCCTGCGCTCAGCTGAGCCCAGCAGCCCAGGGCCCCCCAACCCTGTACTGCCGGCCACCCCACCAGCCACCCCTCCAAGTGCCCTGAAGGGTGTGTCCCAGGCCCTYTTGGAGCGGGTGAGTTCTTACAGATGGGCAGGGGGTGGGGGAGCTTATGGTGACCTGCTTTACTGACCTGCTTCCCTCCCTGGCCACAGATCCGGGCCAAAGAGGCCCAGAAGCAGTTGGCACAGATGACACGACGCCCAGAGCAGGAACTGCGCCTGCAGCGGCTGGAGCGGCTACCTGAGCTGGCCCGAGTGTTGCGTGGTGTTTTTGTGTCTGAGCGCAAGCCAGCACTCACCATGGACGTGGCCTGCGCCAGGATGGTTGGCAGCTGCCGAGCTGCCCTGAGCCCAGGTACGTGCAGGCTGGGGTGGGTGTGGGCTGCTGTCTGTGGCGCACTCGCTCCACTGGCCCAATGTGCACTGGGCGCCTGTGGTGTGCCCTGCTGGGTGCTGGGCACTACACTCCTCCAGGAACCCTGAGCCTGCCTGCTTAAAGAGCCTTTGCTTTTTGGGTGCTGGGACAGCCCAGGGCTTCAGCATGCAGGGCAGGTGCTCCCCACTGTGCTCCACCCCTGTTCTGTAGCCTTGGAGGCGGCTTCTGCTCAGCCTCACCTTCACAAACCTGCCCAGTTACCTGCAGTCCTCAGAATAATCCCRACTTCTTGCCCAAAGCCCTGTGTGAGCATCCACTCTCCCAGGCCTCAAGCAGGTGGGTACTGCCTGCCTCAGGGCCTGCACAGTTGGGCAAATTCCCCAGCACTGGGGCCTGAGCTGGAGGGTCCCCAGCCGTTTTCTCAACTTTTTTTTTTAAATAACATTTAGTTGTAGGTGGACACAACACCTTTATTTTACTTATTCATTTTTACGTGGTGCATGAGGATTGAACCCAGGGCCTCACACATGTTAGGTGAATGTTCTACCGCTGAGCCACAACCCCAGCCTGTTTTCTCCACTTCTGGGGGCACAGCCCAGGGATCCCCACGTCTGGGCTTCTGCTTGGAACCAGTGCACATAGATATACAGAAGGGCTGTTGGCTCCCTGCTAAAGATCTGCGTACACTCATGGGGGTGGTGGCGCCGGGGGAGAAGTCAGGGGTTGGCTCACACACCCATYTCTGCAGGGGAGATGGAGCAGCATGTGCTGCTCCTTGCTGAGTTGCTGCCAGACTGGCTCAGCCTGCACCGCATCCGCACGGACACCTACATCAAGCTGGACAAAGCCACTGACCTGACCAGCATCGCAGCACGGCTGGCCCATCAGGCTCGTGCAGAGGGGCTGTGAGCCACGGACAACCAAGCCTTTCGTTCCACTAATTGGATGGACTTTGGATCTTCCTCCCAGGGTGCCTGCCCCCTGCCCTGCCCATCATATCACATGGGTTGCAGGCTGTGTGGCCTCTGGCCATGTGGAGAGTGGGTCTGCTCCAGGGATCTCTGAGTGGGCTCTGTCTTGGCTGCTGGGGTGGGGAAGCCACTTCCAGCCCCTGTGGGTGTATCAGGAAAGTGGGCTGGGGCAGCTGGCCTTTGCTGCCACCCAGAGTGTGGCTCTGTGTCTGGAGGGCARTGTCCCCCCAGATGTCCATGTCCTAGCCTGCTGAGCTGTGATCTCATACAGCAGAGGGGACACTGACACAAAGGCTTGCTGGGTGTCCCACCATGAGCTGCTGAAGTGTGCTCAAGGTCCTGCTTAAAGCTAGGATCAAGGTCCACATGTTCCATAGGCCAGCTGAGAGCCGTGTCCTCCCAGGGCACTTCCTACCTTGCTTGAAGAAGCCTCTTTACAAAAGAAATCCAATGTACACAGGTGAGGTTCTGAGAACATGAAATCAGACTTCCCTTTGAAGAATGAAGAGAATTTTGATTTTCTAGATTTTGAGCTAAAATACCTTGTAAAATTAAGCTTTTTAAAAGTATCTCGCCAGGAAGATCTTTTTTGCTTATGTTTGAGGTTAACTTCCAAATACCCAAGGCTTTGGAGTTTCCAGTCTTGTTCGCTTTTTGTCATGTAAGATWTGAATAAAAGTTTGCTGCTGAGAGTGCTGCCTTCCTGAGTTGGGTCTCAGTTCCYCAGGACAATGCCAACAAGGGAGCAAAGGTCCCACCTGAGGGTGGCCCAGGACAGTCTCAGTCCCAGACTGCCACAAATTATCTGGGGAACTGGAAAACACTGGTGGCCCAGTATCACCACAGGGTTCTAGAAAACCAGATTTGAAGGTGTCTGCAAGGTCGTGGAAATCCCGGGAAGCTGGCAGGGCCTCCAGACACCTGGCTGTGGCACTTTGGACTCCAGAGCAGGCGGCAGCCACCTCTTGGGCTGTGACTTGCTTTATCTGAAGGGAGACCTAGAGTGCTGAGCACTGCCCCAGGCTTCCCCCAGCAAGTGATGGACAAGAGACGGTGGTGTAGCAAAGCTGTTTACTGGAGTGATCTTGCTGCATTTATAACTGGGCTTGGTGGCCTGGTTGTGGCTGTGCTTTAGGTTTTGGCACTTCCAGAACCTGCAGGAAGGGCCCCAGGTGGAGACCTGTGGGTACCAAAGGTCACTCAACCAAGGAACAGGCAGCCACTGGCCTCTGGTGGCCTTTGTAGGTCATTTAAGGCACTCGGGGTAGAATCACAATCTTGTCCAGCTGAAGATGCCAGGCAGGGGGTGGGCAGCCATCCTGGTCACCCAGTCATTCGTACTGCAGGAGGGAGAAGAAGGGCACAGCCCCCAGCTTCTCCCTGCCCTTCAGCGAGGTCAGTTCCACCAGGCACACACACTCCAGCACCTGGGCCCGCAGCTGGCCCAGCAGTTCACAGGCTGCACACATGGTTCCTAGGGATGGTGCGGGTGTAGGGTGAGACCCCGGGCTCTGAGCTGGGCCAGCCCCAGGGGACAGGGAGGGGAGAGGTGGTTGCCACAGCACCAAAGGCCCCTCTGGCCCCAGTAAGTCAGAAAAGGCTGAGATGCCACCTGCTCCATGCCACTTCAGTGGGTAGGCATTCCCTCCCACCCACACCCAGGCAGCTCACCACCAGTGGCCAGCAGATCGTCCACAACAACCACCTTCTGCCCAGGCTCCAGGGCATCCTGTTGAATTTCCAGCTCAGCCTGTGGACAGGAAGTGGGCAGTGACTGGCTGTGTGAGCCTGGGGAGCTCAGGGACCCCCTCCTGCCCCCCTGGCCACCCCAGCCTGCCCACCTTCCCATATTCCAGCGCGTAGGAGGCAGACACTGTAGGGCCTGGCAGCTTCCCACGCTTTCGGATGAGCACAAAGCCCAGGCCCAGCTCCTGGGCCAGAGAGGGACCAAACAGGAAGCCTCTGGAGTCTAGGCCTGTCAGGGGAAAAGGGTGTCAGGCAGTAGTCCGGAGCACAGCAGCATGGGGACAAGCAGCCAGTGACAAGGGACACCTGGTCTTGTTGGCTCTGCCTAGAAGGTTGATGACACCCATCTCAGGGCCTAGTTGATCCTAYAGGCCAAGAACGGTTGCCTGGAGAGGTCACCTGGCCTCTGTTCAGCTCACTCCCCAGGGGCAGTGCCTGCTCTGTAGCTCCTTGTCCACAAGGACAGGCAGTGATCAGGCTGGCACCTCAAGAGGTGGACTGAGCTGAGGAGGATGCTCAGTGTACCCCCACACACTGGCAGGAAGTGAGGTCACCCCTCCCCTGGGGTATGTCCCTCAGGGCAGTGAGCAGGGTGGGATGTGTACCCCTCGGGTGACAAGAACCACCAGGAGCACCCTGTTTCCCCCCCCAGCCCCCTCAATAGGGCTCTCCTGATAACCCCTGGTGGGCACTGAGCTATCCAGGGCCACCTCCCAAGCCCCAGGCTGGGTCCTGGGTCTGGAACACAGTAGGCACTCAACACAAAAGCTTTTGCAGAGGCAAGAAGAAGAGAGGGAGGGTGGCTGGGTCGAGGAGGTCAGACGGTCCTAGAGACACCATGGCTGTCCATATAGCAAGCTTCTAGGGGAGGAGGTACCCGGCCTGGAACCCAGAGTGGGCACCACCAGAGGGAGGCCGCCAGGCCCAGGAGCAGCCACCAGAGGGCTGAGGCTGTAGGGGTGGGCAGCCCTGCCTCAGCGCTACCAAGCAGGGCGTCCGGTGGCCCGGAGCAGGCCTGGGCTTATAACCCTTGATGGTGATCCCAAGATGGGTCCCTCCTCCTGGCGGTCTTCTGAAAAACCCCCAAAGCCCTCCCCTAAGCTCATGTGTGGACCCCACACAGCCCTGCCCCCAGGATGCCTGGCCACCCTAAGCAGGCAGAGCCAGTGGGGTCAGGGGGCAAAGGTGCAAGGCTGCGCAGACACTGCAGGCCACAGGAGGAGGAACGGGAAGTCACCCCACCCTGTCCCATTCTCCCATTAAGCGGGGAAGAGAGGGGGCAGAAAGGATAGAAGAACAGGGAAAAGGGGGGACAGAAGGGTCGGGGTAGAGGAATAGGGAGCAGGACCCGAGGGCATGTAGGAACTGGAGGGCTGGGTCACGGCGATAAAAGACAAGAGGCTAGGCGACAGAGGGACGGGGAACGGGAACTTGGGCGCGGAACAGTTAGACGAGCCTGGAAGGGGGACCCGAGCAGGAGCACTGGACAGGGACGGGCGGGGCAGAGGAGGCCGCGCCGGGCCACTGGCCTGCGATGTAGTCTATCTTGCCGCCGTGCGTGGTCTTCAGGTGGCTGGCCAGGAGGCGGATGCAGGCGCGGAAGGCGTCAGGGTCCTTCAGCAGCGGCGAGATGTCCCTGCGCACAAGGACGGGGTGGTGACTCGAGCTGGCGGGGCGTGCAGCCTGCGGGACCCCGGAGCAGCCCACGCACTCGCGCCGGGGGCCGAGCGTGGCGCCAACGCTCGGGCTGTGCCGCGCCGCCCGGGCCGCGGCCGCACCTGAACAGCACGCCCGGGATGGGGAAGTCGGGGAAGCTGCGGATGCGCCGCGCCACCAGCTGCAGATCGTGCTCCGCCATGGCCGCGTGTGAGGGCCCGGGGGCGAGGGCTAGGCTGCTCTCGCGGGGCGGGGCTTGGCGCGGAGAGGGGGCGGGGCCTGAAGCGAGGGCAGCGCGGGAGAGAGGGGCGGGGCCTGACGCGGAGACGGAGGGCGCGCGGGGAGGAGTGCGTCCAAGGGCGGGGCGGAGCCTGAAGGGCGGGGCCAGGCCGAGGGGCGGGGCTCCTGCGGGAAGTACCGTTTTCTCGAATCCTTGGTGACCAGTTTCCTGRCGTGTCCTCGTTTCTTGCACCACTGTTGCTTCCCGTCTCAAGCATGTTGGGCGGGACGAAGGTGGCCCTGCTCTGGTCCCCACAGGCCCCTCGGCCTTCGTGAAGGGCGAGCCGGGGCCTCCGTCCCAGCTGTGGGAGGCCCGGGCCCACCTCAGCAGGTCGCGGAGGCGGAGTGCAGGGGGCGGGATGCTTGGCCGGCCTCTAGGCCCACGGGCCCTTCTGTCCCTTGCTGGGACATCGAATCGCCCTAGCCAGGGCCCGAGGTGCCCGGTCAGCGCCTCGGCACCTCCCTAGGCCAGAGGCCTGCCTCCCCCTGGTGCAGTCTCCGTCTACACCCCAAGTCGACAAAGTTAAAACAGGTTTTGTTCTTTATTATGAGCCGATTTCTTCGACACTTCCCAACTTTTACGATTTGTTTGGGCAGAACGGCACAGATGGGAGAACCCACTCATGGAAGGCGGCTCCCACCTGCCTTGAGACAGGTGGGCTCACAGCAGACAGAATCAGWGTGCTGAGCCCGGGCAGAGAGCCAMGGACACCGACACCCTCCACAGAAGTGGCATGGGCGTCCAATGTGGGGTGGAGTGTCTGCCTCCTCCCTATCCCCGCTGTCCACAGCCCTGTGGGGTGGTGTGGAGAGCACCCTAGTAGCACAGAGGGGCTCAGAATCCAATCACACCACTGCCATCAATCCTTCATCACTGAGATGGAAACACGCAGGAGCAGGGGAGGCAGCAGTCAGCCTGTGGCCTCCTTCAGAGCCAGCCGAGATGATGGGCTGCAGGGCCAGGTGGGTGGGGAGGAGCAATGAGGAGTGGACTCTAGAACCAGGTCTCTGGCAGGCCCTGCTGCTGGCTGCAGGTGCTGTCTGGCAGTGAGCGCTTGGCAGAGGCCAGACACTTCCTGCTCTTGGGCACCTGCAGGGTCTGTGGAGATTCTGGGTTCAAGCAGGTGCTAATGGAGCCAGGAGCACTTCTCTGGGACAGACTCTGGAGGCCTCAGACACTTGCCTAACTTTTCACAGCCTGGAGGTGCCCAGTTCTATGAAATGAAAATTCAAGGAAACACGGAGTTACTCCAGGCACTTTTGTCTTGGCTGCAGTGAGACGCTTGCCCCTGCCCAGGTTGAGTCTCACACCCACAGCTGGGCTGCAGTGGGGAGACCATCTCCATCTCCACCTGGTCAGGCAAGCTTCGGCCTTGCTGGGCATCACGGGAACCTGCAGCCTCGCTCTGAGGGGGAGTGGCTGGGGCAGGGCTATGGAACATCAAGGCAAGTGTCAGCGGCCAGGGTGAGGCCAGCACGAGGCTAGCTGTGGGCAGGGGACACCAGACACCTGCCCATGTCCTGGGCAGTGCTTCCAGGTGGAAGAAGGAAGTGGAGGACCACCCCAGCTCGGTGTTGGGAAAGGAAGGCATCTCTCTGGGAGGGAGCTGGGGTACAGACTGGAGTGCCCCTAAGGGTCCCCTGGGAGGAGCCTTCTTGTGGGAAGACTGAGGGCAGCCTGGTTTGCTATGGTCTGAATCAGAGCATTTGATGTTTCTCCCCATGGCATAAGGCACTCAGTGAGCCCTTAGCAGGATGGTTGGGGGGGGGGGGGGGCTGTTCCCAAACTTTGCAGGACAGAAGTGGCAGGTGTGTGTGAGTGTCTAGACTCAGGGTCGGGGTTATGCTTCTCAAGGCTGCTGCTGTGTGTCCTGTGGACAGTGGGCCCCTCTTCAGGGGCTGTGAGAAGCTGCATGGGGACTGAACTTAGAGACTGAGGAGGTGCCACTGAGCCCCGCACAGTGTGGCCTGGGATTTGAGGAGCAGAGCTCTGTGCGGAGGCCCTGGAGAAGGCAGGGTACTAGCGACCCCTGAAGCTCCATGGTAGCACTCACCATGGAAATGGAAGCGGGGCCTTCTCTGAGTCTCGCCTAGGGTGTGTCCTGGACACTAGCACCCCTTCTCCTGCACTGAAGAGCCTGGATGCAGCTAGCTGCAACAGTTCTCCCAGAGCCCAGGAGATGGCAGCAGCACACTGGCCATGTGCCACCCACTTCCCTGGCCCTTTGCCTGTCAGGAAGCCCACCATGGCTCTGCACAGTTGGAAGGTAGCTGCTCTCTGGAGACAGCTTGATCCTGCAGAACAGTCACAGAAGCAGCAATGCCCGACCAGAGGGCACTGGGATCCTGGGGCCAAAAACAGCGGTCCTGAAACAGGGACCTCCCAGCTCCACAGCCAACAGAGGCCCAAACACCAGTAGCACGGGTGTCCCTTTGAAGGAAGGGCCCAAAAGTCCCATGTGAGACTCAGCCATGGACACAGGTGAGGCCACCCACTGGCCCTGACTAACCGAGGAACCTCTGCCCATCCCAGTCTCCAGTAAGCCCTTAGCAGAGTGGCTGGCCCCCTGGCCCTGGACAAGGACATTCACCAAGGAGGGTACTCCTCTGCACTGCCTCCCTGCTGCCCAGAATGATTTCTCTGGGTGCTGAGTCCATCTAGTCAGGCTGAGCCCCAGGCACACTTCAAGGGAGTGGAAGTGCCCCTGAAAGGCCAAGCCCGCACCTGGGGCTCAGAGGCTGCACTGTCTGACCTGGAAGGGCCCTAAATCAGGCCTTTGTCCTGCACAGGAGGAAGAAGGTCTGTCAAGCTTGGTCTTCTCTGGAGCAGCCCCGGGGCTCAGTTGGCATGACCAGTGGGCACGGGAGCCTGGGTGTGGCCAGGTAAGCAGAGGGCTGGCTCTGGGGCTTCCAGGAGACCCTGTGGCTCTGATGCTTTTGTCACACAAGGTGTGTCACTGGAACTCCAGTCTGAAGGGGGCTGCAGGGGTCCCCCATGGGGTCAAGGTCCCTCCTAGCTGGTACCTGCTTCTGCTATGCTGGGAGGTGGGCACCCCCGGGGCTGTGCACACCCTGCCCCCATGGCCCTGAGCACAGCCCTGGGCTGTTTCTCCTACTTAGGCCTCCTTCTTGCTCCCCTTGGTAACATCAGTCTGGGCCTCACATCTACTGTCCTTAACCATTACCATGACGATGTCACAATGCCCCTTACGGCCTGAGTGGAGGTTTACTCCCTCTGGGGATCCCTGTGGGACCTCCAGCCTGGGGACAGCCTCCCATGTGAATCATGGGCCATGGTGCCTGGTCCCTCCTGTGCTTCAGTGTGCACAGGGCTAGGGGTTGGACAGCTGGCTGGCCTGGCCCTGCCATGCTCAGCTCAGCAGGAGAAAGGTATGGTGGACCCTGGGGCCTGCTGCCTTCCTGAGACAGTGTCCTTGGGTCCCCTGAGGGTTCTAGCTCATCCTCCATCTGCAGGGCTCGTGGGAAGCAGCAGGAGGGCAGTTTCTAACTACAGCCCTGTTCCCTCAGGTGGGGTGGTGACTCTGCTCCATGGCCCAGGTGATACCTGGTGCTCTTGTGGCCCTTCCATGAGGCACTGGGCTCTAGAACACACTACAACCCAAGATGGCTGTGTGCCAGTGTGCTGATGCTCTGATGCAGGCCATGGTTGGCCCTGGGTTCAGGGTGGGTAGCTGCAGCCCAGGTGCCGTGACGGGTCCAGCAAGGACAGTCCACTCACCATGACTGCCTGGTTGCACACATTGAGCTGGGGCTGTCCAGGGACCAAGGCCTCCTGGTGCTGCTGGACAGCTGGGGTGATTCTGCCAAGGGCGTCCTGGTACTCGGCACTGCCAAAGCTGGAGATGAGAAAGCCCAGGGTCACTAAGAGGTTCACTGGCAGCATCTGGGGCTGGTCCGCTCCTGGGCTCCTGGCTGGTGCTCAGGAAGGCCCACAGCTGCTCTAGGAGGGAGAGGGCCGGGAGGGGCTGGGTCTGGGACGCCTCAGTCTCTGAGCTGGTCACCAGAGATGGGCAGGCTCAGGATGGCAGCCAGTGGTCCGTGTGGGCTATGGCCTCTGGACTGCTGACTTGGCCTCTCTGGACAGGTGGCCTGTGCCAGTCTCCTGAGTCCTGGTGAGGAGGCTCTCCGGGGACCTGAAGCTCTTGGTGTCAGGACATCCACAATACAACTCACAAATGGGGCCAGGAGTCGGGGTAGTGGGCTAGAGCCTGCGAGGGCAGAGGTGRGGAGAGGCCAGGGAGAGAAGGTGGCCCCACCCGGGAGGCACCAGGGCTGCTCTGGGAGGGCTGCGCTCCGGGGTGCTCTGCTCAGGCGCCTGGGTGTGGCCTTGCCTTGGGCTGGGTTGGCAAGCATTTCCTCGGTGGGTGCCCTGGTCCTGACTCACCTGAGCGGGTACCTCTCCCCAGGGTCTCGTCCCAGGTGGAACATCAGGGGCAGCTTTGTGTGCTCTTCTTGGGTGTGAGTTGTGACTCCTGAGACGTTCTGCCCAGGGCAGAAGTCGATGCCCTGTGGGGAGCCGGAGGGAGTGTGGGTGCCTCAGGAAGCCCTGCCCGCACTGCCCTGCTCCTGGCTCTCCAGAACACAGGTCCATGGGCATGCGGGGCAAAGGTTGTGAAGCCTGGGGCAGACGCTGTCTGGCAGCCTGCCTCCGTGCCTCCCTCCATGATCCCATCCCTGTGGAGGACAGGTCTTGAACACGTTAGTCAACCTCACGTTGACTCACGTTCTTTCTTTTTTGGTACCAAGGATTGAACACTTCACTACTAATCACACCCCAGCCCTATTTTGTGTCTCATTAGAGACAGGGTCTCACTGAGTTGCTTAGTGACTCACTTTTGCTGAGGCTGGCTTTGAACTCATGATCCTCCTGCCTCAGCCTCTGGAGCCACTGGAATTATAGTGTGCGCCACGGTGCCCAGCTTTTATTTCTTTCTAAAGTACTGGGGATTGAGCCCAGGATGCTCCACCACTGAGCTGAACCCCCAGTCCTCTTCCTTATTTTATTTTGAGACAGGTTCTTGCTAAGTTGCCGAGGCTGGCCTTGAATTCCTGACCCTCCTGCCTCAGCTCCTGGGTTGCTGGGATCACAGGCGTGGGCCTCTGCACCTGGCCAGCCTGACATCTTGGCTGCTGCCAGCATTATGGAGAAGTTCTCCTTCCAAACCCCTGTGGGTCTAGGAGGAGAGGTGGCCTCTGGTGGGAGACCAAGTCAGGGTGAAGAGTCACCAGATGCCCCAGAGCCAAGAGACCACAGACCCAGGGCAGATGCTGAAGCTGAGGGGCAAGGACATCAGAACCATGACCACAGGTGGGCCCGGGGACTAGGGGCCTGGAGGCCACGCAGGTGGGTCCAGGGACTAGGGGCATGGAGGCCACCAGGTGAACCTGGGTTTGATTGTCTCCACATCCTGTCGATGACCTGGGCAGCCTCCCACTGGGTATCCCCAGACACTCTGGCCTTCTCCAGGGGCTTGAGGTCAGTGGTGGAGCTGGTAGGCACAGGCTCTCTGGCCAGGCTGACCTGCTGCTGTGTGGCTCATGGGCCCTGGGTGTCCCCCTCCAGCCTGCACACCACAGAACAGCCAGCTCCCACCTGTCTGCCCCTGGGAACTGCCAGGCAGGGCCCCTGACACTGGGCACCTACTGGAGCCGTGGGCTCACTGTGCTCCTGCTCTGAGCAGAGAAAGCAAAGCGCCAGTGACCCCAGCGCCCGCAGGAGTGCCAGGAAATGAAAGGGGCACCGAGTGGACAGCTGTGGGCTGAGCAGAAGCCCTGCCAGGGGCCCAGCCTGGGCTTCTCCCCATGCAGACAGCTCCAGGCCACCAGATGCTATGGCGTGGGCTCTGTCCGAGGAAGTTGCTCCACACCTTCCTGGAGGTGGCCCCACCCCCATTCTGTGTTTTTTTGTTTTTTTTTTTTGGCACTGGGCATCCAACTTGAGCCACACCTGCAGCCCTTTTACTCATATTTTGGACAGTCTCGCTAAGTGGCTGAGGCTATCCTTGAACTTGTGATCCTCTTGCCTCAGCCTCTCAGTTGCTTAGATTATAGGTGTACAGGTGTGGRCCACCTAGATGCCCCATCCCCTCTGAATATCAGCCTGGCAGAAGCCCAGCTGCCTTAGGACCGTGTGCTAGGGAAGCCAGGGGACAGACCAGCCACCCTGTTCCCAGGCTGTAGGGCAGGAGCCCATAGAGGGACCCTGCAAGCCTGAGGGGCTTTTCTCCTACGTCTGAACCACCCAGACTCTCGAGGAGCTAACAACAGGGACCCCAGAGAAAGCTAGGGAGGATATAGGGGTCCTCTGGGAAAGGTAGAGGGAGCCCCCATCTCTGGGGGTCCTGCTCCCTCCCTCAAGGGCACTTTTAAGCATTTCTTAGCCACTTGGCCAGGTGTGGCCTCTGGGGCCCAAGGGAAATGGGACAGGTGCCTTTGGGGAACCAGTTTTTGCTTAGGGCCTGGTGGGGCAAGGCCAGTGCTTAGGACAGCCCTGAGCACTGGTGAATCCTGACCTGAAGGAAGAGCAGGGGCTAGGGCCATGCAGGAGATGGGCAAGGCAGCATGGGAGGGACCAGCAGACCAGCAAGGGCCTGGGACAGTGTCCTGGGCYGCCCATGTGTCCACAGGAGGCACTTGTGTCCTGGGCTGGACAGCAGTCCCACCAGCAGCTCCAAGTGCACCTTCTATGTTGCACGCCTACCTGCCGGCCTCCTGCCCAGCCCAACTTCTGAGCCAGGAGCTGGCCACGCGGGCCCCAGCTGGCTCGAGTGTTCTAGCACTCAGACTGTGCACTGGCTTAACTCGACTGCCTTCCCAATTAAGGAAAATTAGCAAGGTCTCCAAGTATCTAATGACCTTGGGGGGCTGGGGGCTGGAGGAGGCAGGACCAGCCAGCGGCCAGAGGGCAGGCCATGGGGTGGCTGCAGTGGGTAAAGGAGGCAGTAGGAGCCCAGAGCCTGAACGTGTGGCATTTCACCCTGACTCTGGGCTGGCACCCTGGTGAGACACCCACAGCTCTATTCCCTGGGCCTGGCCAGGCCACTCTGTCACCTTGTCTGGGAAGGAGTGAAAAGGAGCTCATGTGCACGGCAGGATGTTGAGGCCCATGGGGCCATCTGATGTGGGCCTGGGCTGTGCCTGCTCTGAAGGCCTCCTGTGAAGGGCAGGGCACCCTGTAAGGATGTGACAAGGCCTGAGGGTCTCTGCAGAACACCTGCAGCCCTGAGCACCCTCTGGGCATCCTGCCAACATGCATGGCAGAAAGAGGCATCCCCAGTACCTAGTCCTCGGCAACCACAGAGGTCTGCGCAAGGTCCTCCTGAGCGTGTCAGGGGCCACAGGGCCACCTCCCACCTCGCTAGCCTCAACAGCGGCTCAGAAGTGGGTAGAAGTCTTTCAAGTGTTGCCCCCTTTCTGGGCCCTGCACCCTGAGCCCTGTACCTGTTTAAACTCCTCCCAGGAGTTGGTCCAAGTCCAGAAGTGGGCCTTGTACAGGCCAAGAGTGACCGCCATCAGTGTATTGCCACGGTAATAGAACATCGGCCTGTGGGTGGGAGGGTAAGGATCACCACCGGGTCCCAGCATGGGCTCCTGGCAGGGTGAGCAGTGAGCTAGCCACACCTCCAAGCCAGGCCCAGCTGACAATCTAGAGATGACCACACTGAGATCAGACCGTGCACCGGAGGAAGGGCAGGCCGAGTTGCTCAGTGACAGAGGCTTAGTGTACACAGACAGGCCCGAGGCCTGGGCACACTCCTCCAGGGACCTCCGGCCCTTGTGGGGCAAAGGCAGGCCAGCATGGGAGGTAAGGGTGGCAGCAAAGGGCCCATCCTGGGGCAGAGGACCAGGGGAAGTGCAGGTGTGAAGCCGGGGCATCAGCCCCTCTCTTCTCGATGTAAGCGAGCTACTTGTTCAGGTTTCAAAAGGAATTAAGGAATTTTAAAGGAAAAGAACATAAGGAATTTTGGGGAAAGAAAAAAGCAAGCTCCTCCCAATCCTCCCCAAAGCCAGAGGCCCCACAGTGAGCTCGGCGGAGGCTCCAGGCCTGAGAGGGGCCGGCTTCTCAGGCTCACATCCCGGGAATCATCTGTCTGTAGCTGGGCACACAGGCTGGAGTCTGGGAGAGCTGGCGGCTGAGCCGAGTGTCCTCCTCCCACACAAGGGACTGTGGTGGTGGTCACAGTGACTGGGCTGAAGGTAGGGACAAAGCACCTCCATCTCGCCTTTGAGGAGCTTCTGAGAGCCTGGGCCTCCCTGTGCCCTGAGCCCCAGGGGCCTTGCTCCACACGGAGGCCCCAGGTCCTCTGGCCAGGAGCTCCCAGCCTCCCGTTGGCTTTCAGCTACAGCAGAGGCTGACAGTGTGGATGAGGAGGCTCTGCAGGGGGAAGGCCGTTTGTCCATCACCAACCTGTCCATCAGCTGGCCCTGCAGAATGGCAGGAAGGAGGTCGAGGCCGTCGACAGCCCTGTCACGGGGCGGCTTCAGGCCTGCGAGGGACAGGCTGGTGGAGAAAAGGTCCATGATGCTGCCCAGTTGGTGGCTCACCTGAAATGGACAGAGCAGTCACTTGCGGGCACCTCTRCCCTGGCCAGAGGGTGGCTGGATCTGGAGATGTACTCAAGTGCTCATGGGCCACCCCCACACACAGGGTCAGGTCAAGCTCAGTTGTGGGCCTGGGGGCAGCAGACAGGACCCAGATCATATGTCTGACCTCGGAGCCAGGGCTGGACAGAGACAGGAAAACAGCCAGAGCTGGGAATGGACACAGGGGGTCCACTTAGGCCCAGCTGTCCTGAGACAAATGGTGGCATTTCACACTGGACACCTGCAGCCACAGTGAACTCTGCAAATCTAGGCAGGCTGTAGTTGGGAACAGGCCCCAGAAATACTGCAGAGGACAGTGAGGGCAGCCAGGGCTGACGTGGGCAAGGCACATGGGCAGTGCTCAGGGCCACAGCCCACCGGGTCCCACTGGTGCACCTCTGTAGATAAATAAGCTGGACTCTGTGAGCAGCATAGTGACTGGTCCCTGGCCAGACCCTGAAACACCAAGGGCAGGACCATCTGTGACCACAACTCTGCCTCCTCAGGCCTGCTCGGGTCCTTCTCTGGAAGCCGAGTCCACAGCGACGCTGCGCTTGTGCTGGGGACGGGAGGCAGGCTCCTCTCTGGTTCTGACCTCTGCGACCTGGGTGCAGAGTGGGGTGGGCACCACCCTGGACTGCACGACTGTGGTCAGCTGAGCAGGCCTCAGCCCACTGATGGCCAGGGCCTCAGCCCTGACGGTGCTGCCCTCACCTGGCCCCACTCAGCTGAGCCAGACGGTCGTGGCCCGAGCTGGGCAAGGAAGAGCCTCGTGGCAGCTGTCTGGGCTCCGCTCCGCACAGGAGGGAATTGGTTCAGAGGCCCTCTGGTCACTGCAGGGGGAGCAGGAGCCTCCCGACTGGGGCCCCCTGCAGGTCCCTTACTACTCTCTGGGTTTTCATATTTTTCAAGGACAGGGAAAAAATGGGGGGCGAGAGACAAAGAGAGACTTTCACCATCTCCAAACAACAGAGGTGGCTGCTCCTGGCTGGGGTGGCGGGGAGTGGGTCTGGCACCCTCCACCAGCGTGGACAGCCCTGTGGAGGACGGAGGCTGAGGGAAGGCTGAGGAGGCTGTGGCCCAGCAGGAGGCCTGGAGGCTGCGCCCAGAGTCCCAGCCTCCATTCTGAACCAAAGGCCGCGGCAGCAGCAGTGGAGCGCCATGCAGGTGATGTTGGGTGGACGAACACCAGGTGTCAAAATCTGTCACCACAGCAACAGGCCTGGGTCCCCGTCTTAACTCAATTTCAGTTTGTGCCCATGGAAACGGCAGAGAAGAGGCGGACACCAAGCTCTGCGAGGTGTTCTGGTCTCCTTCAGGGCCCAAGGCGGATTCCAAACCTGGACTTCCAGCTGGGTGGGAGGGCGGTGGGAGGGAATGCCCGAGCCCACTGGATGGGAACAGATGGGCAGGGATCTGGGCACGAGGGCAGCCCATCTCACCTTCCCAGATGTGTCTCAGCAGAGCAGTATTGGGCTGGACGTGTGCAGCAGTGCTGGGACCCGGCTCCTCACCAGCGAGCAGGGCTGCTGCAGCCTGTCCTGGCCCTCGCGCCTCTCCCACTCCCTCAGCTACACGAGGCCTAGAAGTGAGGACCCTGGGGGCAGAATCCGTCCAGCTGCAGCCCAGTGCCTCTTGCACAGCAAGTAGGATGATGGACGTGGCCCTCTGTGTGCAGAGATGTTACCTGCTGGCCACACTTATCCCACCCAGCAATGTGGTCACTGCCACGGCCACTTCTGCCCTTCCAGGGAGCTGGCAAGTCGACAGGGGGCCTGCAGCTGCCTGCAGGAAACCTGGAGGTCCTGATGACTTGGAGTGTCTTGGGCAGAGGGTCCTGAGGGGCAGAGCCCAGCTGGGTTTAGAGACCATGCACATGGGGCAGGTGCCACCCCAGCCCCACCTGCTGCTGGGGACACATGGGGACTTCCCATGCATGGTGGGCAGGATGCCTGGAGGCTACTCCCAGCTCTGAGAGGCTGGTACGTGACTTGCTTTCTTGAAGCTTTGCCTCCTAATGTGTGTGGTAGGGCACAGTGTGGTGGGCAGGAGGACAGCTCCAGGGATGCTGTGTCCTAGTCCCTGCCACCTGTGCACGTGGCCTCATGTCCACACATCAGCTGACCCGGATAGGAGAGATGGCCCTGGTTATCTGCACAGGCCCAGCGAGGCCACAGAGTGCCACGGTAGGAATGGGAACCCAGATGGCCCTAGGGGCTGGGGCAGCTGGGGCCTCCAGAGCAGCCGGCCCTACAAACTGGACTCAGTCACAGTGGGATCCCAACTCCTGAACCAAGGGGTCAGGGGTGCTGTCCAGGCCCAAGTGCCTAGAAGCTTCTGCAGCTTGAGAACATCACACCTCCCAGGCCACTGTCCCCAGAGTGGGTGGACGCTCTGCCTGWGATGAAGGCAGGCCAGGATGGGGATGCAGCAGGACACTCCCCTGTCTGTACCCCACAGGCAGAGATCAGGGGTGCCCTGGCAGGCTGCTGCTCCCTGAGGCGTGTCCACAGGACACCGGCCTTGGGGATCCTGTGGCCCAGTGAGCTTCACAAACCAGGTCCTACGTGTCTGCTCCAGAGTTCGCAGTGCCACCAGTGCAGCAGAACACTGCTCACCCAGGACTGCCATAGGACTAGGCCCAGAAGTGTCCTCCCCACCACTGGCACCAACACCCCGTAAGATCCTGTGGGTGACAATGACTTACCTGGCCTGCAGGGATGTGCCCGGGCCACCACGCGATCGCAGGCACCCTCATTCCACCTTCAAATGTGGTCTGTTTCCCACACAGAAAGGGGCCATTACTGCCACCTGGGGAGAAAGCCACCACCATCAGGGACATAGACATGGCACTCTTGGTAGCACTGCCCCTGCTGGCCCCTGTTCTGCAGTGTAGTCACCGAGACCCATCACGGAGAGAGAACCAGGCCAAGGAGGTCAGCTCTAAGCACAGGGTTGGGAGGCCTCAAACGGCTCCAACCGGGCAGCTGCCTAAGATGCTTCGGCTGCAGGTGTCCAGAGACCTGCTCTGACGAGGAGCTACTGCTGGCCTGGCCAGCAGTCATCAAGGCTGACCCTTCAGGCAGAGCTGGAAAACACTGCCCATGGAGCAGGCTGCTGGGCACAGAGGCCTCTGCTTACCGTTAGGTGCTGGGGTCTGCAGGCTCCCTGTGGTCTGGGCAGAGCCACTCTGATCCTGACAGTGGGCAGGGTGGGCCAGGGGTATTTCCCACCAGCCAGAGGGGGCGGAAGCAGGTGGCCCTGCATCGTAGCTCTTGGGATGCTGCTGCAGTCTCTCCCTGGTCCTTGGGGTGTGTGGGGCCTGGCACAGGGACAAGCGCTGTCCTTGCCACCAGAGCCTATGCTGCTAGAGTGGCCAGTGACCAACACCCCATCTCCCTCCCTCRGAGTGCCTGAACAGGAGCTGGACCTCAGCCCTCCCTGTGGGCAGTGTGCAGCTGCTGGGAAGAACGGGGCCCACGCCTTTCTCTGGGACGCTGCCTGCACAGAGAGGGCCTTCCTGAGAGCCAAGCCCACTCAGCCGTGGGCTGTGCTGGTTCCTGTCACTCGAAACCAGAAAGCCCGCTGTCTTCCCTCCACCCTCCAGTGTGCACCCCAGAGGGGACGTCCAGGGCCGAGTGGGGACAGGTGAGTGGGGAGGGTGAGCACAAAAGGCCAGTACTTGAGGACCCTGGCGCTGGTGGAGCCCCTCGCTGTCTCATGGGTAACTGGCCCAGGCCACGCACCGCGACCTCCGCCATGCTCACCCGCACGCCGGCTGATGCCCGGGCTGCCGGCCCCAGGCCACGCACCGCGACCTCCGCCATGCTCACCCGCACGCCGGCCGATGCCCGGGGCTGCCCGCCCCAGGCCACGCACCTCGACCTCCGCCATGCTCACCCGCACGCCGGCCGATGCCCGGGCTGCCGGCCCCAGGCCACGCACCTCGACCTCCGCCATGCTCACCCGCACGCCGGCCGATGCCCGGGCTGCCTGGGGCCTTCTCTAGGAGGCATGCAACCTCTCCTGAGACACAGGTCCTCCCCCACCACTTCCTGCCACCTCTCCGCAGCCAGGCCAAACTGACCAACACTTCAGCTGGCCCCGGGCAGGAAGGGCCACCACTACCCTGCTCAGAGGCTCCCGACCCAGGGAAGTCCCTTCACGCTCCACTGGGAGCAGGCTGCTGGCCTCTGACGTGTGAGCCGTGAGCCGCACGGGCCGGTTCCTTGGGCGGCCAGGAGGACCAGCACCAGCACTCGCCTTGCTCGGGAGCAGAAATGAGGGCAGCGCCGTTATCCGAGGTGAAGAAGACGAAGGTGTTCTCCCCGAGGCGCAGCTCCCGCAGCAGCCTCAGGATTCTCCCAACACTGTCGTCGATCTCGCGAACGGCGTCCCCATACCTGTGGAGAGCAGGCAGCCGTCAGGCAGCAGGGCGCAGTGTGACTGAGCACGGGGACCTCTGAGGAGGTGCCCACGGAGCAGGGCGGAGGCTCAAGTCAGGTGGCCGATCACGGGGAGCCAGCCTCCGCCCACCAGCCCTGAGCTGGCCGTGCCCAGCAGCGGGGATGCTCTGGGTTTTCTGAGCACAGGTCCCGAGGCAATCTAGCACCCCGAAGCCCCCCCCCCGCCCCGGGGTCTCGGGTTCCCTGAGGGACTCACCGCCCTCGCCTGCTGGTACCCAAGAAAGATCTGGAGGCGTAGACAGGCGCGTGGGTGGCGTCGATGGCCCAGTAGAGGAAGAACGGGCGTTGCCTGGCCTGCTGCCTCCTGATGAAATCCAGGGCTTCCTGTGGGGAGACTGCTCGTCCTCCTCTGCCCACAGCCCCGCGGCCTGTCCTGCCCAACCCAGCTCCTCACCTCTAAGTAGATCTGGGTGAGGTTGGCCTCCCCAGTCTTCAGGTTGATTGGAAATTCTTCATAAAATCTGAAAATACAGCCCCAGACAGAAATCGGGGTTTAGCCCAGACCCCTTCTCTCTGAGGTCACCTATAGCCATGGCCTTGTTTAGAAGAAGGTGGAAATGTCCCAATTGTGGAACAAATCCAGCTGGAGGCTGGCACTGCCCTGGACACTTCTCCTGGCCCCACTGACCCTGCCCAGGATGGAGCAGGGCAGAGCAGAGGCCACGGGGCGGGAAAGGCCAGCCAGGGCTTCTTTGCGGTGGTGAAGATGGCGGGACATCGACTGTGGTGGTCCCACAGCTCTGGACACACCTGTACACCCACTGCAGGCCTCGTGAACATCACGGGGTGAGGGTCACAAACCAGCAAAGCTTCACTTTAAAAAAGCCAGTGGGTGTTCCAGCTCTGGTCCGTGATCCGTAAGAAAAGTTAAACTAACAAGAAAGACAAGGGCCCCTGACCAGGTGCTGCCGGGAGGAGCTGCCCTACCCTGGGCCTGAGCTCCAGAGGGCTCCTCCCTGGGGACTCCCATCCCCCCACTTCTGCTGCGCTCACAGACAAGGGTCAACCCATCCTTTCCCCTGCGTGCCCACTGTCTAGACGCCACAGCCGACTGCTGGGTCCTGCAAGCACCCTATGGGACGGGCATTTGACTCCCAGTGGCCCGGGTGAGTCTCGGGAGACTCTGGCTGCGCAGATGCAGCATGGGCCAGCAGGTGGCTCAAGAACCATCATCCTGCTCTGGGGGCAGCTGCAGAGGCCAAGGGAGGACTGCTGGGCACCCCGTCAGCAGGGCAGGGCTGGGAGGGGAAAGGAGAGACTGCTTTACCTGCCGACCATCTCCCAGTCCCTATACACAGGGATGTTGGGCCTGGCCCTGTTGTCATAAGGTCCAAAGTGACAGTTGGGGGATCCAAACCACTCATCAAATCCGTGCTTCAGGGGGTGGAACTGGGGCCTATGACCCAGATGCCTAGGAACAGGAACCAGCACTTCAGCAGGGCCCTGCCGGGTACGCTCTGGGCAGCAGCCTACCTCACCTTCGCCCATAAGCACCCCCAACACCCAGTGTGTGCTGATCCCTGGGCATACCAAGACAGACAGACCAGGATGGCACCCAGGGAGCCCTGGAAACCACCTCCCTTCCCAACAGAGTGCTGCCACACCACAGAGCACATGGGCACAGCCCAGGGTGTCCACCGGAGGCTCAGTGGAGGCTGGGTATCCGCAGGGTGCTGTGGGGAGCTCTGAAGCAGAACTGTCCCAACCGACTCGAGACCTGAGCACCCATCTCTGCTGTCTCTAGGTTCCCTGGGCTTCCCCTGCCCTGAGCTCTCACGAATGTTCCCAGAGCTGCACACAGAGTGCCAGTGTCCCCCTCAGGGCTGCAGTCCAGCAGGGCCTCGCTATCTCTGAACACGGCGTGTCTCTTCTCCAGCTAAGGGAAGGCAGAGCCAGAAAGCCTGCGAGCTGCTCATGTCCCCAGGCCCTGGATGTGACCTGCCACAGTGGTCACAGGAGGATGTGCAAAAGCCACTGAGGCTCCTGTACCCTGAGAGGGGCTGGCACTCTCAGCCCTCACACCCTCTTCACTTTTGGGGGRCACCTCATCTCACTCCCGCCTCTCCAGCTCCTACTGTCAGTGGGCCAGTGGCCTCACAGGTGCTGGGCAAGGCCATCAGCCCTGGAAAGAACAGCTCCCGCCTGGTCTTCAGAGCAGGTCTCGGAGAGGTGGCTCCCGTGCTGGCTCCTGACCACTACAGTCCAGTGGGGGCTGCCTATTGGCTTGCCTTCCGCCCCTGCACCAAGGGAAGCCTTCTGCAGCTACTGCTCTGAAACCCCAGGCAGAAGAGTCCTTTTCCAATCTGCACCTGGGACARTCCCTGGTGGAGGCAGCTCCTGACCACTATCATTGGTCATTCGGTGGGCAGGGTCATGGGGGCTGTGGGGAAGGCTGGGCTGGAGGACCAGGGAGGACAGGCTGGCACAGGCTGGCTGCTTTTCCAGGACGGTGGCCTGGCCGGCACGGCGGCCCTCTGGAACAGGTCACTGGCCTTGTGTGCCCCACCTTCTCCCCTCCATGGTACACCTGAACCACCTGTGACTTCATGGACTTTGAGCTGTAGCCTGGGCCGTGTCCTGTGTGTCTCATGTGCTTGTGGGCCCCCTGCTGTGACAGCCTGTCCTTTCTGAACACTGCTGGGCAGGTGGCCGCCCATGTCCACATCTGTCAGCACAAAGGCCTCAGCGTTGAGGGTCATGCTCTAGTCCTGCTCGGACGCAGCTGCAAATGACAATGGTCAGGTGTGGACCAACAGGAGAGCCGGAACAGGGTGCTGTGGCGCCTGGGTGTGTGTCCCAGCCCCACTTGCCTGTGTGTGGCTTTGGGCAGATCATGCAGCCTCTGCAGGGTTCCAGCCTGGTCAGCCCCAAGGACTTGGTCAGGCAGACAATATCCAGAYCCTTGGTGCTGAGATCCAGATGAAGGACTTCAGGTTGGTCCTGGCCACAGCCCACAATATCCCCTCAGCCCTGCAATGGGGCCTGCTGGGACAGGACCCCCTCACTGAGGAATCGCTGCACAATCGCCCCCAGGCCTCCTGCAGCCCACCCTTGTGCGGCCTCACACCCCACTGGCCTGTTGCCCACGCGCCCGTGTCCCAAGTCAGAGCACAGCTACTTCTCTGGTCCTGTTGGCCCCTCCAYGGCCTGGCCACCTCTCTGGCCAGCTCCATGGAGATGCTCTCCCTGTTCCACTCCTGCTGCCCTGGGTCAGGGATGGTGAACGGATGGCTTTGCACAGGGCAGAGCTGCCAGGCCAGGCACGGAGCGTGCTGGTCACTGCAGGGGCTCGTCACTGAGGCCACCGCTGCTCTTCCCCTYGCTGGTGCAGCCCTCAAGGCCTGGCCTCTAYCTTGGCTCCCTGGGCCTCCCTGCACCTGCTCAGGGACTGCAGGCAACAAGGGGCCCTGTCCTCCCCGAGAGGACCTGGCCCTTGCATGCCCACCCAGCTCTGCTCTGCCACCAGTCCTGGCTGTGGCCCAGCTCAACAGGCTGGCTTCCCTGTTGCCAGACGGTGCTCTTTGGTGGCCTCTGATGGGACGCATTTTCTTGCCTCAGCAGACTCCACATCCCCATGACCATCACCATCCCCAGAGAAGAGTCCCCCAGGAGCTCATGGGAGGGCCCCAGGCAGCAGAGGCAGACAGCGGGGAGGCCTCCTGAGGGAAGGGGGTCTGTGGGCTGCAGCGTGGGGAGGGGCCCCAGGACTCTTTCACACCTGAATGTCCCCAGGGAGCAAAGGAGGTAAACATTTCCTGTGCTTGAAACAGGACATGGTGTAGCAACAGGTTCCCTCCTGCTGACTGGGCCCCGCCTCACCCACCACAAGCCTCTGTGTGCCACTGTGAGGTTCCTTTAGTGACCAGGCTTTGGCAGGAGGTCCCGCAGGAGCAGAGGTGGCAGAGCATGGTGGGAGGCGACAGGGGCTGAGACGTGTTGTGGGGCCATGTGCCCCGTTCACTCATGGTGTCTGACACCATGAGGTGGCTCTGCAGGGCTGGTGTCCCAGCCTCAGGCCTGAACTGAGATGCTACCAGCACATCAGGGCAATAGCCCTGGGGACCACACCAGCTTTTAAAAGCACCTGTTGGCAATCTAAGTGGACCTAGGAGTCAGGGTTCCCAGAGGCCCCTTGTTTGGGATGGCGTGAGCAGGGGCCGTGCAGGGCAGACGCCAGGTGTATCTGGGACTCACCACTTGCCCACGATCTTGCTGGTGTAGCCGGCTTCCTTCAGGAGCTCAGGCAGCAGGAGCTCAGAGTCGGGGATGCCGCCCACTACCTCCTGGGGCGTGTAGGCTGGAGGGCAGTGGTGTGTGTGGGCAGGGAGTCCCAGGGGTCTCACCCAACCCTAACAGACCTGCACAGTGGCCTGTCAGGACCGACAGGCAAGGCACACCCAGCGCCATGGCCAGGGTGGGACGGAGGCCACTGCCCCAGGCTCCTCCCAGGCATGGCTCCAGGCCTGCCTCCCACTCCTCTGCCCTCCCAGCTGGGACACCCCCTGCCCGCAGGCCGCACCTGTGTCATTCCTACACTCCCTTCTTCTTCAGGGCCCACTGAGATCCCGTTTAGTCTATGAGGTGTCCTGGAGAACCCACCCAAGCTCTGGGTAATTTCCAGAACATTCCCTGCTGTGACCTGGGGCCCCAGCCTCCGCAGGTCTCTGTGGGTGCAGGGCTGATTGCCAGAGTGGTGCAGGAGCCCTGGACAGAGGGACGTGCCCGCTCTGTAGCCATGCAGTGTCCCAGGGAGCATAAGGGGGTGGAAGGAGGGGTGCTGGGCAGGGGTGGGGTGCCCCAGCCTCAGCTCTGTCCTGGTGGGGTCAGTACAAAGAAGCAGGCCTGGCTAGGCAGGGCCYGTGCAAGGCTCTGTGTTGGGGACCAGGTGCCACCTTGCCTAACAATGGCTTTTGGTGGAAGGGCCAGAATCTGTCTTAAAGCAACTTTAGTGCAGAAGCAAGGTGTCTGGCCCTGGGCAGTTTGTGCTGCTCTGCAGAACTAAGGCCACAGGTGCCAAGGGCCAACCAATGCCCCCCTGCCCGGTGTCTGATTCTGGCCCTCAGCCTCCCATGCCTGAAGGCTCGGGACACCAGCCTTCTTTCCCTGTAGGGCACCCTGGAGGGGCATGGGAGCCATACCATTCCGGGCGTGCGCATTGGTGGTGTAGAAGCCGTTGCGGATGGGCAGCCGTCCTGTGAGCAGGGCTGCCCTGGCTACACRGAGGTGATAAAAACAGGTGGTGAGAACAGCTCTACGGTGCGTCCTGCTGTGCAGCTCCCACTAGCACACCTGGTACACTGTCCAGCAACCCTGCCAGCCTCTGTGTGTCCTGGGGTATGCGCATAACAGCCTGCTGATAGGCAGAGGTGGAACCTTGGCCTGCAGCTCAGCTCTGTCTCCATGGCTCTTGCCTGGCTCTCTCAGCTCCAGGACGGCCACCAGGCTGCCTCCCCACAGGGACCGTCACCAGGTGCTGACCCCTTGCTCCCCATAGCCCTTTAAGGTCAGAGTTCTGTATCCGCCTCCCCAGCAGGAGTGAGTCTCTGCAGGGAGAAGGCACAGCTGCACTGCCGCCCACCTGCGTCTCATACCCATGAGTGGGAGGCACCCAGAGGGCTCTCATGGCCCTTCCCTGGATGAGGCCACCTTGGTGCTGGGAGACAACAGCTGCCAGGGCTGGATGTCAACTTTGAAGGCCCTGGACAGTCCCCAAGCCCACTGACAGCCTCTGAAGGCTCAGTGCCCCTGCTCCTAGCACTTTGGAAGAGAAGGCACTGCCCAGAAGTCTGAGCCTCAGGGCTGGAAGGAGGGGATGGCTGGGCTCTGTGGCCCCATCCCTGGGCCAGGAGCCTGCAGACTTACATGGCGAGCACAGAGGGTTGGCAGAGTAGAAGTTTGGGAAAAGCATCCCTTCTGCAGCCATCTGGTCCAAATTTGGAGTCTCTCTGGAAGGTTCTCCGTACACCCCCAGGTCGCCCCACCCCATCTGCGTGGAAGAACAGAGATGCGGAATGAACCCCTTTTGCAGGTGGCACTTCCATCACCGGGGGAGTGTGTGTCTTGGGCCTCCCTCGCCCTAGCAAAGCTTGTGCCAAACACCAGCGGCCTGGGCACAGGCAGCACCGCTGCAGGGTAAACTGGGCTTCACAGGCTCTCACCTCCATTTCTGTCTGGCCCTCACTGGGGGAAGGTGTAGACACGTCTGCTTCCCTGGACTGACGCGGGCCTCTATGCCCCTGGGAAACTGGCAGCTACAGGCCCACGCCCTCCGTCACGTGAGCTGCCAAATTCGCACACGCCCACTGTCGGCACAGAGCCGCCACACCAACCCAGATCTCAAACCCAGGGGCAAAGTTTCCCCACAAGCTAAGCTAGTGYCGTCAACCCTGCTTGTCCATTGGCCATTGATGGACACAGGGTTGGTTCCYGCTTCTGGCTGTTTGGATGCACTGGGTGGACACTTAGGCCCAGCCTGTGTGTGGTGGCAGGTCTCCAGGCCTGACGTGTACCAGGACTGGGGCTGCCGGGTCATGAGGGGTGCTGCCGCAGCAGGCGGCGCCCTCTCTCCTGTCAAGGGTGCAAAAGACAGAAGACTGTCCGTGTTCCAGAGGAGTGAAAGCCACCACAACCAGGCAGTGGCCTCTGCTGCCCTGGCCACCTCCCCCATGGGAACGTCGAGGCTTTAGAAAGCGTGCTGCATGTCTTCCTGGCTGCGTGGCCCTGACGAAGGCAGAGGACGTGCTCCCCAGCTGAAGGTGCATGGAAGGCCTCAGCGTGCMCGGGGGCTGGAGGCTCCACTCAGGGCCTCTGTTCCAGGAGACTTCGGTGGCAAAGGCACTGGCCTCTGACGGCAGCTTCTTCCGGAACCGCAGGTTTTTTCTTAATCCTATCTTGCAAACCCAGAGGGGACCTGGGAGGTGGGAGGGGTGCTTCCTCACTCCTGGCAGCCCTAAGGCTTCAGACCTCCGAGTTCCSGCATTCATCCATCCAGCCCACCCACACGTACGAGACTGAGCACCCGGGAGGGACCAAACAGGTGCCATCCCTGACCAGACAGGGCTGGGCGCCTCTGGACGGGTGAGAGGCTGTAAGCTGTACCCCATTCTGGCCCCAACCCTTGCAGGGAGGGTGTGGTCCTTTGGCAGGTCACATGGTCAGCAGGGGAGTGGACYTTGCCAGGTGCAGTACCAAGCTGTGGGATACCCCCTTTCTTGGAACAGCATCTGCTCAGATGGAAGGGGTGGTCCTGGCRTCATTGCACTCCTCCAGCCACAGATGACCGACCAGGGAGATGGAGCCTCRGGCAGCCAGTCCACAGTGGGTGATGGTGCCAGGCCTGGGGCTGGGAGGTCAGAGTCTTGATACCCAGTTACAGGCTCAACACCAACCTGACAGGCAGTGGTGGGCAGATGGGGAGGATGTGTGGAGAAGGCGGAAAGGGAGGCTGGGGCTTCAGGGGACAGAGCAGCACCCCCTCAGCTGCCGTGTCGGGCCTGCTGYTTCACCTGCCAGAGCCCTGCCCCTTCTGGCTGCACCGCCCTCTCCCCCAAAGTGTTGTCTGGTCTGGTGGACCAGCCTCCCTTTCTAGGAGTGGGCTCTGGGTTCCAGCTGGATAGGTCAGCACAGGCCCCTTCCCCAGTGTGCTTGGCTCGGGCTGTGACCCACGTCAGGATGATGGGACTACTGGGTACAGCCACTGTCTCTCCAGGTCTCTGACTGAGGATGGGGGAACCTGGTGTGACCTGGCCATCATGGGGCCATCACAGGGCCACTCTGGGGCCAGCTCAGAGACAGCAGAGGTATGGGAGGGTGGAGACGGGATCCCACCTGCCTGAAGCCAGGGTGAGCTGGTCTGGTTAGTTAGGAGAGCCAGGGAGTTCCCATTTTCTGCTTAGATCACTTTGTTTCCTGTCATTTTGGCATAAAAAAGTCCTTGAGTTCTTTGTCAGTCTTTTTTTTT